TCACATCACGGATCAGTCAGCAGCATCTGATCAATATGTGAACTGAAAGTGAAAGTAGTCAAACTGAATTTTTAACAAACCAAAATACAGTTTCAAAGAAAATTAATTCAGATACAAAACTTTAAATTCAGTTTCAATTTAGTAAAATTTATTTTCAAACCAATGCATTCATTTCAAATTCTGCACGTTCAGATTCAATCTGAGCAAATCAGATTCACTTCCTGCTGGTACAAGATTGATCCCATACTAAATCTTGAATCTCGTTTAAAACCTTGTTTTCTCCATGTGAAACTTCCAGAAACATCAGGAGTTTGTCAGACGTTCAGGTCACACAGATAGCCTGCGGGTACCGGCACTCCCTCGCACTTTCAAAAGGTGAGCACGGCTCGTCTCCTCTCACAGAACTGTTTCACAATAATAAACAGTTGTGTTCGTCTTCAGGCGGTCAGATCTTCTCCTGGGGCCAGAACCGATACGGTCAGCTGGGTCTGGGCTTAAGTGGACAGAGCATCCCCACGCCTCAGATGGTCCAGTCTCTGCAGGGAATCCCCTTCGCTCAGGTCTCGGCGGGCGGGGCTCACAGCTTCGCCCTCACCCTCTCGGGCGCCGTCTTCGGCTGGGGCTGCAACAAATTCGGCCAGCTGGGTCTCAACGACACCAACAGTGGGTGCTCGGAACCGTGACGTGAATGTGAGGGGTCTGMACGCAGAAGCTTGACTTTCAGTTCCTTTTTTTAACAGATCGGCAGCACCCAGTCCTCCTGAAGTCTCTGAGATCACAGAGAGTGATTTATATCTCCTGTGGAGAAGATCACACAGCTGCTCTCACCAAGGTGGGCTCTTTATTAATATACATGCTGTACATTTGGGATTAGTAGGAATTAATAATTATAATAACTAGACTCTGTCATGGTACGGGAAGTGGTTTTTSCAAAATACGCTGTTCTCATATGAGGACACTGGGTCTAATACTTGAGCCACCATGCAAGATGAGAAACTTCATGACAGCCTTTCTGGTGGAAYCATTTTCCTGGTTATTTTAGTAAAACAGCAGCCAGATGTTGACCATCATCATCATCATCATCAGTGACAACTTTCAGATTGCTCCTCAGGTTGAAGAACCGATTATGTGACATGGTGACAGAAAATCACAGATAAGATAAACCTTTATTGTCATTGTGCAGAGCACAATGAAATTACAGTTCACAACACCCATTCACAAGAAGATTAAGATATAATTATTAGGGCYGCAACGGTACAGAAAATTCATGATTCAGTTCGGTTCAGTACTTTAGTCTCACCGTTTGATATTTTTTCAATACAAAAGAGAAATGTGCACGCCCTTTTTAAGTTGTAATTTATTTAAATTAATTATGAACATTTGTTTAACCTCAAAAGTTCAGTTTTTAAGTCAAATGTTGCCGAAACAGCAACTTTCTCAGTGGATCTGTGCTCCACAATGCTGCCTAGGTGGAGTAGTCGAACACAGATCCACTGATCCTTCAACACAGAGCATCTTCAGAAGACAAGCTGATAAAATAAATATAAAAAATCTGTACTGATCCATATGTAGTGTGTAATGAACGGTTTGATACGGGTACATGTATTGTTGCACCCCTAATAATTACCTGGTTGAACAAATGGACAACTTACATTAAATATTTACATTTATGAACTCTTCTAAATATTCTGTGGTTCATCCAACCTCATGACAGAGTCAATAACAACATATAGTCCCAGTGTCCTCAAATGAGGACTTCACCTTTACCAACATTGTATGTTTTGATACAAGAATGTGCATGCCTTTATGAAGCTAAAGATGTAACTGTGCGTAAATGCACTAGTTTCAACATGAAATATGGATTTTCTAACCGGAGAGGCTGGGATCCCCGCCATCTTTTTTTCACTAAAACGAGTGTAATGTTGTCATGTGACCACTACGTGGTGCTAGTAATAAGGCCAGTGGGTCAAAGTTGAACGAAAAATGAAATATGACGCAGAGAGGCAAAAATATAACGTCCTCATATGAGGACACTGGGTTTGTTGTGGTCAGCCTCTGTCTTCACACACTTCAGAGCTCGTGAAACATGACGCAGAGCTACACGACACAGAACGTGTTTATTTTTCCTGCTGGAGTTTCCACTAAGATATCTGCCRTTTGGCCATGGATAGAGCACCACACTGTTCTACCTCCATCTGTGAGGTTTTGATTGTTTGACTCTTGAAGTGTCGTAAAGATGGACTTTCTGACAACGGCTCCTCCAAACTACCTGATGTTTGGACTCACAACAACATAAATAATTCACAAAACAATTGAAGCAAACACATCTGCTACTTTCTGACCAATCACAGAAAACTGTGAGGGGGGGTGGATTCTTCTAAAGCCAATGTTTTAATTGTAATATTTCTGTATTTTAAATTGATYTTATWTTTTTACATATTTGTGTTGCTTTGCTTTATTTATTTGGCTGAGTTATGACGACACCACTTTGGTCAACCCTTGTTTTTATGTGCTAAATAAATAAAATAAAATGACGTAACTGTGACGATGAGCGTGTTGGGTCCGTTAATCGTTTCTGGTCTCATTTGGGACGGTCCTACAGGAAGGAGGGGTGTTCACGTTTGGAGCAGGAGGGTACGGACAGCTGGGCCACAACTCCACAAACCATGAAATCAACCCCAGGAAGGTGTTCGAGCTCATGGGGAACGTGGTCACGCAGCTCGCCTGCGGGAGGTTTGAGTTTATGAACCGTTTATTCTTAAAACTGACGAGGAAACGAGCTCAATTTAACCCAAATAAACACCTTTATTTGCTCCTGTGGTCCAGGCAGCACACGCTGGCCTTCACACCCGCCTGTGGGAAGATGGACTCATTCGGACTCGGCGGTAACGGACAGCTGGGCACGCGCTCCACCAGCAACAGGAAGAGCCCCGCCCCCGTTAAAGGCCCCTGGGTCGCCGCCACAAAGGAAAACGGTGAGACTCCAGGGTAGAAAAGCGAGTTTTCTGGATTTGTTTCTTCTTCTCTCACATATAAAATATATTGTTTAATAAATCCCTCAATGTTTCTTCAGATCAGGAGCAGAACTGTTTTGTCAAAAGGATTTATGCAGGAGGAGATCAGAGCTTTGGTCATTATTGCGAGGTAAGTTTAAAAGGTCTCTGAAAATCCCCAAAATTAAAATCTAAAACTTGTCTGTCGTTTTTCCTTCTGCTTTGATTTGAAGCTTTAGCCTCTTTTTCTTTTTTTCTTTCTTTCTGAAATGTGTTCTTACAGAACCGTCAGGATGCAGAGGAGAGCAAACAGGATCCTCGGAGGAAAATTTGCTTCCTGAGCGAGGAAATTGTGCAGAAATGGCTGAATTACTCAGCAGGAAGACTTCCTCTGGAAATCTCCAAGTAAATAAGAAAAAAACTTTGTTTTGGTGAAAATAAATTCAGGTTTTTGTAAATAAAACAAAATGTTTTGTTTTTGTGGTTTCTGTAGTGAAATCAACCTGCTGTTCTCCTCAGCGAGCTGCCTCAACGCATCTTTTCTGTCCACCAGGTAAAAAGACAAACACACAAAAATCAGAAGATTGGCTAAAAATGGGAGAAGCCTATATAAAAGGAGCTACATGCTAGCTAAAAGTAGAAAGACATTAGCTAAAGAAAAAAAAGGAAAAAGCTAGCAAAATTATTAAAAAGTTGGTTAAATGTGGCAAAAACCCAATACAAAAGGAGCTAAATGCTAACTAACAGTTGAAAGTAGTAAAATACATGGTAAAAGTAGCAAGAACATAGCTGAAAGCTAAAACCAACAAAAGGCTAACTAACAGTTAAAAGTAGCACAATGCTATCTAACAGCTAAAGTAGTAAAATAATAGATAAATGCAGCAAAAATAGCTAAAAGCTAAAAGATTGTTATAGTATTAAAATGCTAGCTGATAATTTAAGTTTGAAGAGACTAGATAGTAGTAGCAAAAAATTAGCCAAAAGCTAAAATGAACGACAGGCCAACTAAAAGCTGTAAGTAGTAAAAGGTCAGCTGATAGCTAAAGTACAAAGACTAGCTAAAAGTAGCCAAAAGTTAAAACCAGAAAAAGTCCAACTAAAAAATATAAGTAGTAAAATGCTAGCAAATAGCTTAACGTAACAAAAGGCTAGCTAAATGTTAAAAGTAGCAAAAGCCTAGTTGAAAGTAGCAAATAGATTACTAAGACCTGAAGTTATAAAAGTCTAGCTAAAAGCAACAAAATGCTATCTAACCAGCATGCTTCAGCTGCCTTCAGACCCAGGTCTCCTTTAAAAAATAAATCTGATCATAGTGAGATTTGACTGATTTGAATAAAAATTAAATACCAGCAGATAAACTAAATAATTTAAAGTGCCTTTGAGGTCAAATTTTTGTAATGCATATAAATGCATTTTTAGAAAGTGGACATGGATAAAATATTGCAAAAGAAATTTCATGTTGCTGAGATGAACAGTTGTTGATATATTTGCCTGTAAAGTAACAGGAAGTGATGTCAAAGGGGAATGTCTGAATGTAAACAGAGCGTTGATACAAAGGCCAACAACCCAGACTGTAGAGAAGAGTCTGATGTTTTAGATTATTTTAAGTCTCTATCAGATAGATGAAGAAGAGTCGGAGTTATTAAATAATATTGTTTCATTAAACAAAGACCAGAGAGTTTTCTTTGTTAAAGAGTTCCCCTTTGATGTCACTTCCTGTTTCACTTWGGCTGAGCCAAGTTCAAAAGAAAATATGTCAGTTATGGGACAAAATGGGTAAAATTGTGTGTATTATTATTCCAACTTTCTTAAATATAAAGAGGTTTTCTTTKACTTTTTGTATTTGAAGGATATGCATGACACAGGCACTTTAAAAGTAGCTAAAGGCTAACTGTCTGCTACAACAACAGAACCAGTAGCTGAAGCAGAGTTTCAAAACAACAGGTTTCCTGAGGTGTTTAAAGTGTGTTTCTATGAAGAAATTATTTGTAAACAAAGTTAAATATTTACAAAAATGTAAAAGTCACAAAAACCAAAAGTCGCAGCAACCATCTCCTGTATGAGCTGAACGTTTTGATATGTGAACGGCTAAAATAGCACAAAGTGCGCAGAACTAATTACATTGTTGACTTGTTACTGATGTTTTGTTTGTTTGTTTGTTTGTTTGCAGTAATCCAGACCACTTCAGTACCAGTGGTAAATGTTCAGGGGTGGACATGAACTCTGCTCGGCTGCTCTTCCACAGACTGATTCAGCCAGACAAACCGGAGGTCTCTCAGCAGGTGGGCGGCTTTCAGAGGGCTCCCTTCAGTTTTCTCCTGCTGACTCAGCGTTTACTAAATAAATGTGTCTACCTCCTCCTGTCTGCCTCAGGTCGCTGCCAGTCTGGAGAAACACCTGATCCCCAGGTTGAGTAATGCCCCCCCGGACATCGAAGCCCTGAGACTCTACGTCACGCTCCCAGAATGCCCTCTGTTCAGCGACCGCAGCAATTACATCACCATCACCATTCCCTTCGCCAAGTGCGTGGTGGGCCTGACGGAGGCGGCGCTGAAGGTGTTGGGTAGGACCGAGCGCGGCTCTGGTGTCAGACCGACCCGGCTTCGGTTCCTGTCCGTAACACAGAGGTTTTGTGTTTGCTTCAGGAAACTGGTGGTCCACCTTCGAGCCCCAAGTCTTCCAAAGGTTGGTGGATCTGTACAAAGACGTGGTGGTCTATCTGCTCCAGATGCACAAGGTGGGCATCCCGCCGACGGAGCAGAGGATCTTCTCCTGCTTCCTGGACACGTCCCTTTGCTTCCTGGAGGTCCTGCACAAGGTCAGACAGGAGGGAAAACGTCCTCATGTCCTCTTTTCAAAGATGGCTGCTGATTTTTCTGTTTTCTCTCAGGTGAACGAGAAAGCAGGAAACATCATCCAGTACGACAAGTTCTACATCCACCAGCTGGACGACTTGGTGGACATAAAGAACGACTACGTGACGTGGATCCAGAGGCAGATGTACCCCATGGTGAGTCTGCTGTTTGTCTCTTCATCAGGACCACCTGAGTCCACTGTGTCTAACGTGTTTGGACCTCATGTCCTCAGGGTCGGGACGGCGTCGTGACTCTGTGCAGGTACCCCTTTGTGTTTGATGCCCTGGCCAAAACTGCTCTGCTGCAGACGGACGCCGTCATACAGATGCAGGTAGGACCGGTTTCTGTCTCTGAGCGTGTTGGGTTTTATTTTTTATGTGAATGTTTTGTCTTAATGTGTCCTTTTACCCACTGTTGTTTTGTTTTTACCCACTGTTGTTTTGGTTTTACCCACTGTTGTGTTGGTTTTACCCACTGTTGTGTTGGTTTTACCCACTGT